ACATGAAAATTATTCTATTGTGTATAGATTTACTGAACAAAAAGCTATAATAATTACAACCATCTCTTACAATAGAAGTTTGATCTCAATATAGAAACAAGACCTTTTAGTCACCTTTAGAAATGTTGTCCACAACGCAATTACTGATTGTGACATAAAGATTTCTTTCAACCTCTGCAGTCTCAAAAAGCAATCTGTATTTTTTTGCTTGCATTTTATTATAGCTTTTCTTTACTCACAACATTTTAATATGATCAACTTGTAAAGATAAACTCTTTCTGCTGCATTTGAGGTATGTGTTTATATGCAATCAAAGCTGCATCTCAAATTTGTATTCATGCAATTCAGGTAGCATTAGCTTGGCTAATGCTACAGCAAATAAATGCGTAGCCATAGCAGCAGAGAAGTTGATGCAGGCTGCAAAACCTGACCAAAAACTTAGTGAATAATGCAGCTTTCTGTGCTGCAGTGGGCTCTGCCCTGCCTTGGATATGCTGCTCCATGTATCTGGACTTCAGTAGCTTGAAGTAAACATACAAGCTGCAAATATGCCTTGACTCTTGTTGTAAATAACTGAAAAACAGATCAGTCATAGCTATTAGCTGCTTGAGAAGATCTTCTAATGTGCAACATCCTGATTGCTGAAAATTACGTGCTTTCTTCTGCTTCCTAAATAAAATAAAAGAGCTCCTCTATTAGATGCTATTGAATCCTAAGCACACCACTAAAACTGTACTAATACTTTGCTTGTGTCAAACAGTGCTCTGAATTGGAATTACAGCAAAAGAATGTACCACAATATTTACTGCAGTCCATGGTCCTTTGCAGTTAAAGCAAACTGTAACATTAACACATAGTTTTGCACATAGATGTAATTCAGTAGGTAATTTAAAAATAAAAACCACTATGAACAGGAATAAAATATACCAATCGTATCTATATCCACTAAAATCTAGTGTATAGTACTTGCATTCTTACGGCATTAAAACACTTCCAAGACTTGGCAATTCTTAATGTATATTACTTCTGTTAGTTATGCAGCAGGAATTTTTCTCCACAAGAAATATTGTGACTTGATGGGCTTTGTCACAAGCATTAAAAATACAACTGGTAATTCTGGTCACAAAAATAGAGCAGATTTAAACTTGACAAAACCTACATATCACAGAATCACAAAGTTGGAAGAGCCTTTCAAGATCATTGAATCCAACCCATGCCCTAACACCTCAACTAAACCATAGCACGAAGTGCCACATCCAATCTTTTTTTAAGTACATGTTTTTTTAAACACATATCAGGTTAGAAAGAGGCAATCTGTTCAAAAACAGAAGAAAGCAGTAGGATTGAAAATAAAAAAATACACATTCGGCTACCATGGAATGTAGCATGAGAACAAGCACTCTTTTTTAACTAGAAATATCAGCTGAATACTACCAGAGATTTCAGGGGAGCTCAACAGATCACGAAGAGAAAAACAGCTCACACATTAGCCAGCATTTCACTAAATTTATTATTTCTCTTTTTTTTTTCTTAAGTAGTCTATTTATTTACAGGAAACAATTCCAGTTCCCAGTTCTAGACCTGAGCAGGGTTGGCTTGCTTCTCTGTATTATTTTGTTTTACAGGGTTTGGCTAAGACTGAAAAGCAAATGCTAGTTTGATACCTTGTGTAGCATTGTACTGAGGGTGACACTGGCAATGGTTAGAAAAATTTCCTTCCTGCTTCCATTTATATGACAGCTGTGGAGAAAGAAATATTCAGGCTATATTTCTCTCCCTAGTCATGCCTCATGAGACATGGAACCAGTTTCCTGTCCTGTGTTTGTGTGGGATAGAGTTAATTCCCTTCCTAGTAGTTGGTACAGTGCTCTGTTTTGAACTGAGTCTATGAAAAATGTTGATAACATACCAATGTTTTAGCTGTTGCTCAGCAGTGCCTAAGTCAAGAATTGTCAGGATCCCATGCTCTGGGATGTTCACATGTTCTGCATGTGCCGTGCTCAGTGGGAAGAGGCACAATAAACTGGGGGGCAGCACAGCTGGGACAGCTGGCCTGAACTGGCCAAAGGGATTCTCCATTCCACATGGCATCAGGCTCAGCATGAAAACTGAGGAAGTTGGTCAGGAGATGTTGATTGCTAGGAAGAGACTGGCTCAGCATTGGCCCACAGCAGTGAGCAATTGTATTGTGCATCATTTGTTTCTCTTGTGTTTCATTCCTCTCCCTCCCTCTACCTTTTACTCCTCCTCCTCAATATTATTATTATTATTATTATTATTATTATTATTATTACGCTGTTCTTTCCTCAGCCCATGAGCTTTACCTATTTCCATCCCACCAGGGAAGACAGACTGTGTGGCTGCAAGGCACTTAATTGCCAGCTTGGGGTTATAACACTATTTATGCTTGGATCTGATTTGGTTTCCACTTTTGTAAGAGAAATATCTTTAATCAGAAAGATGAAACTACACTTTTTTTAATTTGGTTGGTTATGTTTTGAAACAGAAGAGATTAGTTAGAACTTGATGGCACCTGCCCAACAGAGATTAGTCCACTCTAAAGGATTCAGGACAGCCATTTCAAGTCATGGCTTGTAATTCTTTTTGACTGTATGATGAATCCTAGGTATGAATTTGCAGTGTGCAGTAATATAATATATCTACTATAAATGAATCTGTCAGTCTCAGCAGAATAAACAGTAACCAAACCAGTAACCAGCCAACTGAAACAGCCAAAACCAGTACAGAAGCAAACATGGAAAGCGCTAGAAATGGTACTTAAGGACTTTCAGCAATCTCCACATATTTTAGCTTTACAGTAAGACAGTGGGTTTTTTTCCTATGATATAAAATTTGGCATCCATTTGAAATTTAAGGGTGGGAAAGAAAATAGCAAATTAGGAATAACCTAGCCAATACTTCTGTCTAAAAACATATTCCAGTTTTTCTGAAGTCATGGACTTCTTGCTTGTATGGTATATACATAACAGACCATTGTATAGAGCATTTATCACTTATTATACACATATAGATAGAAAGAACAGGCTATTGAGCATCAGATATAAAGTGCAAGAAAAAAATGATACAGAGAACAATACTGACATACATTGTTGAACTCAGAAAATTAAAGAAACGTTATCATTATAATTCCTATCTTTACGGACCACATTAACTTTTTTAAGGTTATTATTATTATTATTATCCCAAATTGACTTTGACATTCAGAGTCTAGCATTCATTCTAGACAGTATGTAACTTAAATGACCATATGCTTTTACTAAATAGGAAAAAAAGGCTCTGAACTCACCCTAATCTACACCAGGTTTGGTACTCTATTTGGCTCAAGATAGTAAGATGTAACACATAGACATTGTGACAAGTGTCAACAAATCAAAAACATGCTCATTCCTTAAAATCAAGCTCAGATCTGTACTAGCCTGTTTCTCAACCAACAAGACAAGTGAAAGAAACATTGAATTAATTTTAAAATGTCTTAGAATGAGACTTTCTCAAAATGCTCTATGGAAAAACTGACTTTGGTAAAAACAACAAAAGATTCAAGAGTTTACTTTTACTCTTCTCTCCAAATTAGATATCTGAACTTCAAACTTTAGTACCAAATTATATCCATCTGATGTACAAATCCATCTATTGTTTAGACTAAGATTTTTCAGCATTAAAATTTTGGTGAGTGTGAGTGGGTTTTTTTTGTTGTTTTGTTTTTTAATCTGAAACATGGCCATCATGTTTGACCAAAGGCAGTTAAGTTTGAAAACTGGAACCTACAAGTCTGTCTACAGACAGCTACCTAGATGGAATGTGCTGATAAGAACAGTAAGAGCAGTATCCAATATGAGCAGTATCCAATATGAGCAGTATCCAATATGAATGCTCTTACAAGCAAAACCACTTACAGGATAAATTCAGATGTGCTCTATAGTCATTACTTAAATATCAATATGTTATGTGCTAGACAAGTACCTGTCAAATATACTTGATTTCTCTTTGATCCAATTTCTGTAATTATCGACAAACTGTCCTTTCAGCTCTATTTTCTTCAATTTTGTTTTTATTTGACAAATTGAACAGGTTTGGGTTTTTTTTTGCTACACTCACTTAGAGAAATAAACACTTACACATGAGGTAAAATTAATATAATCAATTTTATGACATCTGCTCCATAAAACCCGCAGTGCATATAAATATTAAAAAATAGTGCAATCTGCTTTAAAAACTAAGAAAGAAGATCTTTTTCCCCCCATTATTCAACTTTCTCTTTAACAGAAGGACTACAGATATAAACTTTTTCCTGAGACCACTAGTCATGAGCAACTGAGTCACTCTGGACTCCTCAAGCTTAATTAAAACACAGCCAATATAGCAATATTCTGTAGACTGACTGTCTAACAAAGCTAACAGGCACCCACACCTGCACTGTAACTTGCAAGAACAAGTCCTACTGATAGCGAGATAGTTCAGCAGTTTACAAATAAATATTTACTATAACCTTGTTGAGTCAACACTCCTTTTGAATTAATACTAATAAACAATAGCTTAAGCCATTCCAGCTATAGCACCAAGAAAACCAAGACAAAGAAACACAGAATGAATGCCAAAAGTTCTCAGATTCAGTATAATAGGCACTTAGTAACTAACACTTGAAACGTTACACAATCTCTGCTTTCTATTACAATTCCATAAACCCTAAAAAACTTGCATAATGATTCTAAAGGATTTTAAAAGTACTACAATTTAAAAACATAATCAAAATTTAAATAAATAAAAATCCCACAAAAGATAGAAGAGCTCTGCAGAGGAATCAGTAAGTATAGTTTTCAGGTTGTAATATTCAGATGATTCTTAAAAAGCAAGTTCCAATATGGTATAGTACACCATTAATGTACAAAAGTGAAAAAAAAATTACAGCAGTCTTGAAAGCACAGTTCAACTACATAAGCTAAGCTAAGAAGTGCATGCAATTCATGAATATGGTTCATTACCATGGTTACAAGCTTTCAGCACAGGCCGCTGTGTGGTTGGACTGAGATTTTGTGGTGTGTCTGCAAAAGCAAAGAAACAATGGAAATAAAACACCTGTTTGAAAGCTACCAGAATATTATAACATGACATAGCAGAAGTTTAGGAATTTAAGAATTACGAGTTAGGTATTTCTTGGAATAAATGACAGTTATATACCAGAGAAATAATTTGACTCAGACTCACTTATGGAGCAAGAGAACTGTCGCTTCCCCCTTACAACTATTAACCCTAAAAAGTTAAAAGTACATTTGGCTGTATTGAAAAGTCTTGTCATAATGATCTGGCTATAATAAGTTCAGTACATTAATTTCCAGTCTTATTGACATAAGCAACAGTCTGAACATCCCTGAAAATTCATTGTACTAACGAATTAAATCTGACAGTATCTAAATTCTAGAGCACTGGACCCATATTGCTTTTAACTTTCTCTAGAAAATAAAATCTAAAATAGAATATTCACCTCTGGACCTTGGTGTCCTTTTCCTTCGGTCTCGAAAAGCCGCACCTGACTGCAAGGCCTCCAACAGGCTATCCATCACTCCAGTCTCCTCACCTTCTGTAAAGGAAAAAGAAAGAACCCTCTTGGTTACCATAGCAATATCAAAGCATAAAGAATAACATCAACAAAAACCAATAATAATGGATACCAATATTATTATTAAAACAATTAATTTCAAACCTTGACCAGTGCTTTAATATTTACAAATTGCTCTCTTGCAATTAACTACAACAGATTTGGTTTTCTAGAACTGAACTAGAACAAATTTCTATTCCACTCATTTCACATTCCTCTTTCTCTATACAGAGAGTCAAGCATAGTTTTAAGAGAAATGTCATTTAACTCATATTTTCATTTTAGTACCCTTCTACAACTGCAAATAATCAGTCTCATGTCAGCTTTCGAGAGCTGTCCTTTATATGATTTGTTACATTTGACAAAAGACCATTCAGTTATTGTGATAAAAAGTTAAAATTGTTTCTCAGCAGGGAGCAGAGTGAACAGTATTGGACTGGATAGGATATAGTGATATCCATAGGTAGCTTTAATCAAAAGCCATTTTCCGTCTACATTTAATAACCTCTGGCCAATAATAAATAATTGATGTAGTTCAGGAAAATTCTACTCGTTAAATTATATGCTTATAATGCCTAATAATATACACATGTGCACAAAAACCCCCAAAAGAATTATGAATGTTACTCTGAGATGGTAACCAAATGCAAGTATTAAACACTCTCCTTTTACTTCCTTTAATAAAGACATCAGAAAGTGTTCTATTTTTTAACCTTGTTACCCCACTGTATGTATGCATGGGAGGACAAAGAACAGAATCCAGGGATTAACTATACAACAAAAAAATCTCCATGGAGGAATAAAGAATTCCACGATAGAAATCTCATTATACCCCACTGGGCAAAACTCCCTAGGTCAACACACATCTTGGACAGAGTTAGCAGTTATTGCTAACAGTGAGTATGCAAATCAGGATCTAAACCACCTGGTACATATAACAAGATGCTGAGTACAGGGGGACAATCACTGCCCTGGTCCTGCTGGCCACACTATTGCTGACACAAACCAGGGTGCCAGTGGCTTTATTGGCCACCTGAGCACATACTGGCTCACTTTCAGCTGCTGTCAATCAACACCCCCAGGGCCTTTTCCACTGGGCAGTTTTCCAGCCACTCTGCCCCCAGCCTGTAGCGCTGCAGAGGATTGCTGTGACCCCCATCCAGGACCCCAAGAAGGCCTTCTTGAACCTCATACAACTGGCCTCAGCCCACTGATCCAGCTTGTCCAGATCCCTCTGCAGAGCCTTTCTGTGCTCCAGCAATTCAACACTTGTCACCCAGCTTGGTGTCATCTGCAAACTGACTGAGGGGGCACTTAATTCCCTCATCCAGATTACTGACAAAGATACTTAACAGGACAGGGCCCAACACTGGGCCCTGTGGAGGGCTACTCCTGGCCAGCCATCAGCTGGATGTAACTCTACTCACCACCACTCTTTGGGCTCAGCCATCCAGCCAGCTTTTTATCCAGGAAACAGTAACCCTTAGTTCTTCTCTTTTCTCTATACTCTGCACTACCAGCCTAGTTTTCAACTTTAGACAAAAGTGCTACATACAAAACCAGATAAGTGAAAATTAGCAAATAAATAATAATTTTGCCATTTATATAATAACATTTATATTTATGGCAGGTATAGAATAAACATGAAGACTGAAATATAGAATGTTTTTAAATTTTTCTTGTGTTTGCTATAACATGCTTTATCTATTACACTGGAGTTTGCTCTCTTACAACTAATGGACTATTACACCTATTAATAGGGCTTGGAATACACCTTATAAAAAATCACTCATACTATGTCTTTGGCTTCCTATTTGTTTATTTGGGTTTGGATTTTCTTTTGCTTTTTTTTGCTTTTGTTTTGGTTTGGTTTGGGGTTGTTTTTTTTGGTGTCTTTTTCTTGTTGGTTTGGTGGGGGGTTTTTTGTTACTTGTTTAACTTTCTCCATCTGATGTCATGCAAGTCTTTAAAATATTAATGTCTTGACTGAATCAGTCAGTGAATAGTTTCAAACCAACATGATGCCTGAAGAAATTTTGAGCCAATACATCAGTTACATTAACAAACATGAAAAACATGAATGTTGGAGAAAAACTTATAAGCATTTTAGGTAATAGCAATTCAAACAATACTGAATAGTATCACAGTCACCAAAATGATACTGTTCATGTCTATGGAAAAGAGTTCATAATTTTTATTTTAGGAAATAGGACTAACAGAAGAAAAATTTCAACGCTATTTCAGCATATCATCTGTTTCCTCTTAAGCCTGTCCAAGACTACTTCAGATTTCATAGTAATTTCAAAAAGTTAACAATTTATTAGTATAAAAACCTTGATTACTATAAAAGGCTAATAAAAAAAAATTTAAAAGAAGATTTAAAATAATGCAACAGAAATATTGCAAACCCACAACTTCTTGGAGTAAAGCTGTAACATTTACATGCACTGTCTGTTTTTCACACTTATCTGAAATATTCTGGTAGTCACAAAGTGGATTATAGATTAGTGCTTCCATTGACATGCAAAACAGTATTAGAAGAATAAATTGTAGAAGATCGAAACTTGAATGAAAAAACTCATCTAATAGTTGCTCTGTATGGATGTATTGAAACAAGCCAACCACTGCAAATAAAAGCACATACTTAACAATCTCTGTACCCAAAACACGTAGAAAGCATAGTTTTCAAACTTGTACAACTTCAGTAGGCTCCAAATTCTGTTTCTGATACCTACATCAGCAGCTGACTGTGACAACTGCTGCTAAGTTATGCAGGTAACTATCAGTACCCACACTATTAATAATGTTGTCCAAGTGCCTATGATGGGAAGATTAAGAAATGAGAGTCTACCATGCAGTATGTGAGAAATCTTTTAAATTACCTTGGGAGAGCTGTATACAACATTGCCACCAAGCCAGTACAAGAGTCACAAATACTGTTCGATATTAACACTTCCTAAGGGGCCTTTAAATCGGCTTTCACAAGCTGCTGCAGATGACTGGCACCAGTCCCAACCAGCTTCCTAATTAGTCAAGTGTATCAATCTTTTGACACCATAGAACTAGGAATTCTGGTTGGCTTGCAGATAGTTACATAGTCCACAGTAATTCCTTTGAGAAAGATACCCTTTTATGATTTAAATGATCTCTTTTCCCTCGATTGCAGAATAGAAGATTTAAACACTTTTTAATATCATACCTAATTAAAACTCATACAACTGTCTTTTAAATACCATTTAAAGGAGAAGTAAACTTCCCAAAGTAGCCGGTGAGTCTTGCCCTTGACATTTCAGTGCCAAGTCAGATATAAACTACCTAATTTCATAATTACATCTTTAAAAATGTTAAGAATATTAAAGACCCTTCTCTTCTAGTGCAGTGAGTATCATTAACTTTACATGTGCACCTATAATGTCTTATAACGATAGCAACAGATATTGCAGCTAGTAGTGACAACTGCATTTCATGTACTTATAAAGAACAAATTATATATATTATAATTCCAGGAGCAGTAGTCCACTGACATGATACAATCACAAATACCATTAGCAGTGTGGTTTTAAAAAACGAGTGCTGCAACAATATTATTTTGGATGAAAAATGCTTTATTTTTACAGTTCCCTGAACCTGTCCACTATAAAATAAACCACAGAACACCAGGACTCCAAAAGTTCACTTTACCAGGAGAAAACATAATAATATGCCTGTTTCCTTTTTCACAGAATCAAAGCTTTATTCAGCTACTCTTCTCACAAAGTAAAATACCGAGAAGTTTCAGAAAAGCAAACCATGGATTCTTTAGCATGGTTACTGTTGATGTTGCTTACTCAAGCTCTACACTTACGAGATTTAGCTACAGGAATCTTGACTATCATCTTCCCCCTGTCTTTATTTATGGCATTGCAACTATGTGCAGCTTTTTGTTATACTATAGATAATGAAAAGGACCAGCTCCTAAAGCTAAACACTAAGTTTCGTGTGAAACTAAAACCATACAACTTGGACAAATACTTACATTAAAAAGAGACCACAAATACTTACATTAAAAAGAGACCTTACAGATTCCATACCTGTTACAGAAGGAAAAGGATGCAAAACCTCAAGGGCTACTCCTGAAGTTAGCTGGATAGCCGAGTTTAATTATCTTTGTTTCATCTTTGATGTAACTTCCTGGCAGCACTCAAGCCTTCATATACATTAACAACAAACTTGGAGTGCTGAGGGTATTGGATTTATTTTCCTCATCTTAAGAATGAAATCCTCTCAATTCAGCAAATACCAGAATTGATGCTTTTTTACTCTTGTTTGCTAGAATACACACTGTTTTTTTCCTTTCTCTTCAGCTCAGGACATAATTCAAGTTAGACATACTTCACCCAGTTTTTGACTGATTAAAATATAAGCCCTTCACAGCCTACTTGAAGGTTTAGCTCCCTCCTGTCTTGTGCATTTACATACAAAAATTTTAGAGGCAAATGATTGCCAGGCTTGGGACAGCGACAGCTGAGATGTTTCCAGACTATTTGCACAAGGAAGGAAAAAAGAAAGTTATATCTCTTAACTTTATTATTGTTGCACCTTTACTTTAAAGACATCATGGAAAGTCCTTTATATTTGCTTTTACAAGGTAAGGACTGATTTTGATGAGTGGAGGCTACAAAGCATTGCTCAGCTGACTAAAGGCCTCCATCTAAATTTGAAGTAACACTCTCCGAACAAAATCACAAGAGGAAAGCTTTAGGCATGCATCATTTTGAATGACTTAGGCTCCAGGAAGCAGAATAGCAGATCACAGAGAGAAAGATAAATGAGTGCAGCAGTGGGCTCCAATGTTTTGGATGTGGGGTCCATGTTTTCAGTCTCAGAGTGTAAGGCAGCCAGATTCTGTGCAGTGTTCATAGTGCTGATGTGAACAATTTCTAGATCTTTCAGCCATATATATGATCAGGGCAGAAGACTTTTTGAAGGCTTTTACATTGTAA